CGAAAATAGTTTATGAGCAATTTTCGAGTGTGTACGCTTCACTCTCGATTTTCACAGTGTAAATCAAACTGTGCTCTACGCTTCCGTTTTGTTCTGGGTTACGCTTACTGGTCGCATCATATACCTACCGAAGAGGGTGGTGGTGTAGTAGGCCTCGGTTATGATAAGGAAGACGCCATAGAGGGCCGCGAGGTGGATGTGGATGTGGAAGAGCACGCTGGGCCAGCTGCTGTCCCTGGCGGCCATCTTGTCCACCTCCTCGGCCTGCGCGCCTGGTTGCTGCTGGTGTGCCGACATTCCTAATCGAACACGAAAATAGTCACATACATTGTGCATTCATTTGTACCAATTATCTCGCAGAGCTCGCCTTTTCACTTCGGTCAGCGCCGGGCGCAGCGGACTAGCCGTGTGATACGTGGTCGGCGGGGTGAGCGGGGTGCGGGTGGGCCACTGAGGACGCTCGGGCCAAAGGTTGGACACCGCTTTGTGTGCTAATGTATGCCACGGTGCCCAGGCCCAGCGCCCCACACCTGCCTACGTAGTTACCGTCACCCACAACCGCGGCGGCGCGCGGCAGCTCACGGCAGCTACTCGTGGCCGTGGCGATTCCCTCTACCCCTGCTGTCAATGCCGCGTTTTACACGCGAAAAAATGCTCCACTAAATCGACTACATGCAAAAAATATCACACCAATGAGGTGGCTGATTAACAGAACTCTGTAGTTATGCTGTACCGCATTCGTAGGTGCGGGCGGGTTGCCTACTCGCTCGGCCCGTCAGGGGACCCGTACGGTCGGACGGGGGCGATGGGCAAGCACGCCCGCACCCGAACGTGCGGTACACTTTAACTTCATAAGAATATTTTCTTCGATCGGACGATAAATTACAGGCCTGTTCCTTAGAACAAGTCAGCAGAAATTTAGTTGAGACCCTACTGCCGTCATGATCCGTTCCTTGACGAAACTTTGTAGTATAAAATAAGCAAATACAGTATGGTTTAACCCATCTTCGCCCAAGCTGCATTTCTCCTCAGCATACAAGACGATGTTGGATCACTTCTGCACGTGATTTGACTTATTTGGTGAATTGTTTCGCCTGAGCTCCACGTGTACCGGGTTTACCAGAGAGCAGAGCGAACACCCCAGAGTTGAGGGTTTGCGCACCCCCTCCGCTGGTAAGTCACCGTGGTCTCTGCGTCTTTTAAGGTTAGGCAAACCCGCAAAAACTGGGGTGCTCCCGCTGCCTCTGACACACCCGGTGCACCTGTCTCACACCACCCCTCTTGCCAGGACCCAGTCGCTGCCGCAGCACGCGTTGGCCCCCCGCGGCCTCGCGGCGTGCGGGTGCTGAGTCACCCTAAGCGGGCGAAATACGAAACCGCCGTTGTTGCAAGTGTCCAAAGTTTGGACACTGCCAACTCCTCGCCACCAATGGGAAAACAAATACTCTATATAACAAACGCTGTAGCGTCGGTCGATGGTGCGTCGCATCTGGTCAACGTTTCAGACACGATGCTGATGATGGTATAGTGGATCAGGTAGTTCAGTACTCACTGTGCTTTCTCGAGTCTCCCTGCGCCTCCGACCCCTTCGCGTCGGGCTTCCTCAACGGACTGAGGAAGGGCAGTCCGCTGACGGCGGCAGTACAACGTGTCGCGGCCGGCGCGGCCGCCTAGGCCGACGACGAGGAGGGTCAGAGAGGTCCGGAAACTGCCCCTCCCCCCTCTTCTCCTGCCAGGGGAAAGGGGTGAGGGGAAGAGGACTTTCCGTAAGTAAGCAAATCCGTCCGCGCTGTCTTCTCTGAATCACTAGGTACAACCGACTTGTAATTTGGATGACCAAAGGTAAGGTTTCCTCATCATATGAACATTTCGTTTTACTTGAAAAAATAAGAAAAAGAACTAGTAAAAAAACAAAAAAAAAACCACTGTTGTCAGTTTTGCTACAGTGTGTCATAGGTGATATTATTTAAAAAAGGTCAATGACAACTATTGAACTACTTTTATTTTTATTTATTTTTCAGGTATTCTCAAAGTATGACAAATATTTTGACGGTGAAAAAACAAAATGTGTCCTGCCATGCTGCAGTCTCCTACGCACCACCTACGATGGAAAGTGGTCGGAAAGTGGGGAAGGTGTCCCTGTCCACCGACAAATGGCAATTTGCATGTATATGCTTAACAAACAGGAAAAAGGAAGAAGTAGTGACAAAAAATAAGACATTGATTTTTAAAAAAACGAAGAGAGGAACAAAAATAATAAATGTGATTTATTATAGATTTATGCTTTCTCCTACTTATGATATTCAGCATTGCAAAATAGCATCAGCATTATCTGTTAGTACATACAACCTTTAGAAATTGAAATGTTTCTATCATATAAACACATATCAAACTAGGTTCGCCTTTTGCAACTACAAAATGGAGAGCTGATTTACAGTTACATTAGGAAATGGTACTTATGGTTGGTGAGAGAGATCGCACGTATTTCTCACAGCACATGTGGTATTTGTAACAATGTTGTCATATGAACATGGAGTACATACAATAAGAAATGTGAGTGCCCAAAATAACACTTCACATTCACAATTAAGTTATGGTATTTGATACTGAGCAGAGCAGACTTTATGTGTAAGGACCTTCTGAATGAGGCATTCCGCACACTTTAATCTAGACTAGTTTTACTCAAAATAACAATGGACGCGCTTCAGGAGTTTAATCTTAATTAACAAACTACTCTATAAATTATGAAATAGATGAAATCAACAAATTAAAAATGAGGGTGCTCAACAACAGGTTCTACGCACATTGTATTCACATAGATTTCTTGTGATCGTAATTCAATTTTTCTTAAAGCTTGAGGGGGACCGCAAACCACTTCTGAGGCTCCTCATACCCACATTCACCCATACATCACAAAAACATTGGAGGTAAGTGTAGCTTTGGATACATACAACAATGACGCGGATCAGCGGCATCGTGACCCCGGGCGGTGCCCAGGGGGACCCCGGGGGCGGTCAGTCACATCGGCCCGGTGCGGCTAGGGCCGCGTCACACGCAGGCCGCCCGCGCCCCAACCCGCGCCCCCGTGATGTGGCATATTGTCCGTGAACTTGCACTGAAAACCACGTCAACGTCGAGCTCAACTTAGCTACGCGAAGCTACGCGAAGCTACGCGAAGCTACGCGGAGCTACGCGGGCGCGCAGGCGCAGGGCAAAGGTCGCCCTCGGCCTACGAGGCCTTGGTGGCAGGCGCCGCCTCCTCGGCGGGCCGCGTGTCCGGGTGCAGGGCCGCGCCGAACATGCCCGCGCCCGTGCCGTCGCCGCAGCGCTCGACGCGTCGCCGCACCACCCGGTCGTCGGCAGAGCGCCGGTCCCAGGCCCAGCCCAGGGCCGCGAACGCGTCGATGAACTGCGTGGACAGGTTGATGCGCCCGTTGCCCAGCTCGCCGGTGCGGTAGTCCCAGGGGAACACGTGGTGGTAGTTGTGCCAGCCCTCGCCGATCGCCAGCAGGCCCAGGATGGGCGACTCGACCGGGCTGATGTCCCTGCGGGCCAAAGGAGACGACAGGGTTAGGAGATTCAGTGCCCCCCCTCAATATTGAGAAACTGGACTTTGGACTCGTTTCGTTTCGATTTCGTGTCTGCTAGGACTGCGCGTGGTGCGGAGTAGGCCGCCCATCGTGCACAAGGGCGGAGCGGCGCCCGATGGGTTGCCTACCCACCAGGCGGCCCGAGCGACTCACTTGTCGTACGGCCGGTAGCCGTGGGTGTGGGCGAGGCTGTTGATGAGGAAGGCGATGTTGAGGGTGGCGGAGAAGCGCGCGTTGAAGTTGACCCAGAACGAGGCCCACAGCGACTCCTCCCAGAAGTAGACAGGGATCAGGACGGGGAGGGCGATGGTGAAGACGGCGAAGAGCGGCTCGTACCACCTGTGCGGGCAGAAAGGAAGTTGCAGTATGGCACTAAACGGGGCCGCGTCGAGGGAGCGTCGAGAGATGCGGGGCCTTACTTTTTCTGCCACATGACGATGCCATCCTTCTGGAGGTCGCTCATGTCCACCTCCTTGCGAGCCCGCTCCACGGCGGGGTGCGGGGTGACCACGAGCCAGCCGACGTGCGCGAAGAAGAAGCCGCGGCGGGCGTCGTGCGGGTCCGCGTCCGTCTCGGAGTAGCGGTGGTGCACACGGTGGTCCAGCACCCACGCCCAAATGTGCCGCTGCGGAGGACAAGAGGGTCGTCAGTACGGTTGGGGTGGCTGCGAGGGGTCCTTTATTAAATACAAACGTACACCAATTTTGCTGATTCTTGATTATTATTCACTTCATTTTTTTTCGTGATTTTTTTCTGATTTAAATCAGAAAATTTGCATAATTTTTTGTATTTGGTGTACTTTCACAGTTGGGAGGCTGGGATGGAGCTTAAGGGAGGGCGCAAGCAACACGCCCGGGTGGACGTCGACTCGAAGTTAGTTGACTCACCTGGCCGGTGACGGTGAAGAGCAGCATGAGGATGAGCCGGAGCTGCCAGGAAGCCTTGTACGCCCGGTGCGACCACAGCCGGTGCACGCCGGCCGTGATGCCGAACGCCGAGGTGTATATGACCAGGAAGGCTGTGCAACAGACGAAGACGACCGCGGCATTATGACAGTAACAGGGCGGCACAGGGTTTC